TGAAAACCGCTAGTTCCTTTTAGGAGGAACAGTTAGGTGAGTAAGAACATTGTCCCTGCTGATTTGTGCTCTGACTCATTCTTTGCACTGGCTTTAGCGGTAAGGATTCCATTGCAATATGTTTCTGCCTGTGCTTAATGGCCTAGGAAACAATGCTCAATTTGTATTGAGAGGGGAGTATGTCCCGGCCTTCTTCGTACAATAATGAGGTGTCAGAGAGCACATACTTGAGTATTTTCTATCAACACACAAATTTTTTTTGAAAACAAAATAAGCCCATGGCCTTCATGTTTGTTGTTGAATTTATAATTTTTCCCCTAATAATATTTTGCTTTTTAAATGTTTTTATGTTGCAAATTTTTTTTTTTGCCAAAGTTTACTTTCAAAATAAAACCACTGATAGTAGTTGTAAAGCATGCAGAAGCTTCCCATTTGTGTCCACTTAAAACATACCCAAGAAATAGGATCACTGTACCAGGCCTTGCTAGCTTCAGGTTTCTGAAGAAGACTGATTTCTGTGTGCTGGACCAAATCTTGGTGCTGGGCAGTACTGAAAATATGCTTGCTTTTAGCAGATAAATTTAATAAAACATTAAACATTTTGGCAGCTGTTCATAGCATGCTCTGATCTGCATTAAACATAACTTACTATCGTACTGTTATGTTCCCTATTTTGTCTATGTTGGAGTTACGGGTTTTGACTGATGTTGGCTTTGCATAGAAGATGTAATCTTTTATTTCTGGTTGAGCATGCTATCCAAATTTTGAACAGAAACCTTTTAGCTTCAAAAGCTGTTAAAAACAGACGCCATAGTTCTAGCAATGATTATATTTGATGAATGAAATTTGTGTGGTATTTAGCTTTAAGTGTGTACTTCATTGAAATAATTGTATCTATTATGTTCCATAAAAAGAAAGTTGCATATGAGTGAGAACCTTGCTTGAGAGAAAATGTGCATACCCGGTAATTTTTGGCACTGAAATGGAAAAAAGTGATTGTGTGAAGCTTTTTTGCATCTGAAAAGAATCAGTGAGAATATGTGTTCCAAAAGTGAGAATGCTGTGAAGAAAAGGTATCTGCCTCTTGCATGAGTACTTTGACCATCAATAAGCTTACCTATTTAAACTGCCAAAGCACAGTCGTCTTTTACAAACTATGTGATTACCATTCAGCAGTGACTCTGGCTTTGAACTTACAGGGTCTGTCTTTCTCAAAGAGCGAGAGAGGACTGAAATGAAATTGCTGTGAAGTTAACTTACTGGTCCCTTTCTTTCAGCTTACATTTCTATCTTTACGTAATTTTGGGGAAGTTGGAAAGGTAGGAAGAGGGAAGGAGGCGCATGTTTCATAATCAGATGGATGCTTATGGTAGAAGCGCTTTAAGTAGCCAAAAAAAAAGGGAAAAAATTATATATGACTGCTACAGAAGGAGGGATCCTCTTGAATTTATTGGCTGAAATGCCAGTCACTTTTACGAAGGATGATAGCCAAGAAAGAGCATGACTAACTTGCCTGCAGGTGTAACTCCAAAACACATTTGAGCATGCAGATTCAGCGTGCAGTGCACAGAGAGATTTCATACCTCAGAGTGATAAACACAGTACAGAGAAGGGTGCTACCTGGAAACCATCTATCGGGAGGCAACAAGCACAGGAGCAACACTCAAGTTTCTTTCTATCTGAGATCCCAAGCCCGCAGTCCTCCTATTAGGTTAGGTGTCATCTTTGCTACAGCTGATCACCGCTTGCTTTTTCATCCTTCTTGAAAAGAAGATATGGCTGATGACTTATGCAACAGCCAAATGGCTAACACTCACTTCCCACTTTAAGCGCTTGGCTAAGTCCAGGCAGCAGCTTGCACGAGGTCACGTTCCTCCTCTTCTCTTAGCACTCTACAGAAAAACATACAAGCTTTACTCTGAGGGGAGAAAGCACAAAATAGGAGCTAGCTATTTGCTTAGAGAGCTGGGATGCTGAGAGAGCATACATCAGGTTATTTTTTAGTCATTTTTTCTGGGTTGGTTAGGAATAAGCTATAGATACATATGGGGCCTTTGTCCTTTGCTTTATACTGGATGCTACTGGCTTGAGAAATGCAGGTTAGCACAATCTTTTGTTGACTAAATTAAGGGTGCAGAACACTTGCTCCTGTTCCCCTTGTCTTGTTCCTTCTGTTCAGAAGGACAATTTGTCATAAAACAGTGTTTTCTAAAACTTTGATTCTTTACCTTGGAACACTTGCAGTTGTGTTTTTTTCTGCTTCAGAGCTTTTATGATACATGTTATCATCTAAGCTCTGCTGAACTTCATAATTCAAAGATTTTCTTTGTAGTATCATTCTGGTGACCTTTTTTCACTGCAAAACAGCTTCTCCTTTTGTTTCCTATTTTAAACTGATTATCGTCTGTGAGAGGACTTTACGTTTATCTAATGGCAGATCAGTTTCTTTTAGAGCCTTGGTGGAGAGACCTTGTCAAAAACAATCAGAAATGCAAAAGTTACCTTTGCTGGCTTATTGCTTACAGAGCTCTAAAAGATACTGCCCTGGGGATCTAATTTTCTGTATGCCATGATTTTAAGTCCAGAATTATTTGTTGAATTTATGCTCTTTTGCAGTCCCTGCAGAACCCTACAGCTTCCTTCCCTCTTCAGTATTCTTGGCTTGTGGAGTCATAAACCTCAGTGGAACTTTGGGTGAGATTTTCATGTTCATTGCTAAAGTCCTTGCTTATTTATCCTGGAATGCTGTGTTAACCTTTCTGCTGTTGGTTACAGATTTTATTCTAACAAATATGTTAAAGACAACTAGTAAAGGAAAGGTTCATAAAGACCAAAGAAAGAAGAGTTTTGGCCACTATATATGCTTTAGCCTGTAACTAACATTATGGCTTTCCCTAAAAGAGTTACTGTAAAATAAAAATGAAAGGGAGAGAAAAGGAAAATCTAGAATAAAGTTAACAGAATTTGGCATTTTTGCAAAATGTCAATGTGCATTGCTTAGTATACTCTTCCTGAGTTTAACAATCTTTGAAATATAATAGGATAAAATAGAAAACTATGGCATTCCTCCCCATTCAAGCAGGAAGACATCTAGAAAGTGGACTATGTACGAGTGAATGAAATTAGGATGTTTATAATATCCCTTCATGATATCATTGAAAATTAAAGGAGACAGAGAGGTTAATCATTTGTCTTAGAAAAAAACACTGAAGGTGGTGTGCCCCTGGAGATCATCTAGCGATATTCAACTTGCAGATAGGAAGGGAATAGCTTTGCTGTGGAATGAGGAGCAGGTCATAGTGCTGATGTTCCTTGACGAATCCTTGGCAGCAGCCTGAGTAGGCTTGCATTAGGATCAGTAGAAATCCAAACTGGGGACATAGGTTAGACTTTGTTGGCTTACAGTTCATATCTTTGTTGGTGAAGTAGAATCGAGAGTAAACTTTTGATCCTCTAGGAAGCACATGGTCCTTGTGTAAATTCGTAAAAGCATTCTTTCTTCCCTTCGCTTTTGTCCAATGTTGATACCAAACAGAACCTGCATAAATACTGCAGGCACGATTTGTGTAACTACACATAAGCTTCTTGAGTTGGTAGCACAAGCTTGTCACCACGTACAGAGATGGAGGAGGTAGATTGCCTTCTGAAGTTGCCTATATCCCTCTTCTGACTAAAAACATGAAAACAGCCTGAAGTGACTATTACAGTCATGCAGAATGAATGAGGTGAATCCCACTTTGTGTTTCTGGTTGTGGTGATCTTTTTTTTTAAAGGGGCACAGAATCCTTCTGGTTTCCAGCCTGATCAGATGCCAGAGTACTCTGGGACTGTTTAATTTAAAACGCCAAGATAGAGGGGAGGAGTTCTGTGAAGAGCTAGCACTGAAAAGGGGAGACAACTATCAACTCCTTTGCATTTTATTTGTCTGTAAGAAGAGTACACTTAAACCAATACATGTAATAATAGTACAACAAGATGGTACATGCAAATTATAAAAGGAAATCTTTCATTGTATCGGCATAATGATGAGGGGCAGAGTTCAGCAGAATGCCTAAGGATTAGATTTACAGGTAAAAAGAGAGGACGCACATGGTTAAATCATGGGGGATACCAAGATGGATTAACAAAGACATGTCTAGACCAGTGAAAGAAGGAAAGCTTGCTGCAGGGGGAAGGGTTGTAGTGACCGAAGAAAAGTTAGTTTCCTGCACCTTGATATGAGTCAGTCACTAAATGAAACAAATTGAGAAATACTTTAATTGTGTGGACAAGTTATTTAATAATTAAGAACAGGTTTGGATATTTTACATGTTTTTCCTGAGGCATCTGCTGCTGCTGACTGATGTGGAACCAAGGACTCTGTATTATGTAGGATAGCTCAGACAGGTAGGCTTTTCAGTGCTTACCAAACAGGCAGATAAGTGATACTGATACTGTTTAAGCTATGTGGAAATGTTAATGTTTTCAGCTGTAGGCAATTTCAAAACAATATCATAAAGTTTAAAAATGATGAGATTTAAATAAAGATACTAATTTAATTTATTCATTCTTAATCAGAAAAGTTTGTTTTCAAACACAAAAGTTTTCCAGTCCTGGTTATAGTAGAAAAAAAGCTTGGTGATTTGAGAGTATTGTATAGTATTGGCAAGACTACAGGAGCAGGATCTATAAAAAAGAAAAAAAAGGACCAGATATTACAAGACTCCTGACTGGTGCTTGAGTAAATTGTGTTGACCTAAAATGTAAATATGTATTGAGGATCCTTTTGTCATTAAGGAAAACTGAGCAGTCATTTGGTTCCCATTGGTTTTAGAGAGTCTTACTTTGTTTCTTTAAATTTCTTTCTTCTTTTTCAGGTGGAAATACTGACATGACTTTAAGAACTTTGATGCTTTCAGACACTGAATTTTGATTTGTTAAATGACGAGGAGTAAGATACTGCCTGAACAAGATGAAATGCCTTGAGGACCTTTGGTTCTGCTTTCATTTCTCCTGAAGCAATGGTTTTCTCAGCAATGTTGACGCTGGCCCACTCTGGGACCTCAAATGCTACTTTTATTGTTTATGAAAATGCCTATACGAACTTTACCACTCCACAGTTCTTGCTTCGTAGTGGCACAACACAGCCATTGAGATATAGTTCAGGTGCCGTGCTCACCACTGAGAGAAGTACTTTTCTGGTAAACACTACAGCTATTCTGCCATCGCAAGAAGTTTTCAGGAGCTTGAGTTTGCCACTCCAGATCATTCTTTCTGCTGCTATGATATTTATCCTATTGGTTTCTTTCCTTGGAAACTTTGTTGTCTGCCTCATGGTCTATCAGAAGGCAGCTATGCGATCTGCAATTAACATCCTCTTAGCAAGCCTGGCTTTCGCAGACATGCTGCTGGCAGTGCTGAACATGCCTTTTGCTCTAATAACAATCATTACCACTCAGTGGATTTTCGGGGATATATTCTGCAGAGTCTCTGCCATGTTCTTCTGGCTTTTTGTCATAGAGGGGGTAGCCATTCTTCTTATTATTAGTATTGACCGATTTCTTATCATAGTTCAAAGGCAAGATAAACTGAACCCTTACCGTGCAAAGATTCTCATTGTGATTTCCTGGGCGGCATCCTTTGTTGTTGCTTTTCCGTTATCAGTAGGGAATCCTAATCTGCAGATACCCTCGAGAGCGCCTCAGTGTGTTTTTGGCTACTCTACAAGCCCGGGTTACCGAGCCTATGTGATAGTTATCTTGCTAATTTCTTTTTTTATTCCATTCCTGGTAATGCTGTATTCTTTTATGGGCATACTCAACACCGTCCGCCACAATGCAGTTCGTATCCATAGCCACCCTGATAGCATATGCCTCAGCCAGGCCAGCAAACTTGGTCTCATGAGCTTACAGAGACCTTTTCAGATGAATATTGATATGAGCTTTAAAACTCGTGCCTTCACAACCATCTTGATTTTGTTCCTTGTCTTCATAGTCTGTTGGGCGCCCTTCACCACTTACAGCCTTATTGCCACATTCAACAGCCACTTCTACTACAAGCACAACTTTTTTGAGATAAGCACTTGGCTCCTTTGGCTCTGCTACCTCAAGTCTGCACTGAACCCACTGATTTACTACTGGAGGATTAAGAAGTTTCATGATGCATGCTTGGACTTGATGCCCAAATACTTCAAGTTTTTGCCACAGCTACCTGGCCATACGAGGCGGCGCATTCGACCCAGTGCCATCTATGTGTGTGGGGAGCATCGGTCGGTAGTGTGAAGCTGCAGTTGTTTGACAATGATTGTTATTTTCTGGGGTTATTTGTTTTTAGGCTTTAGGTTGAATTTTGTTTTGTTTAATATGGCTTCTTCGGTGAGGCCGTATCTTATAACTTGATTGAATTTTCCAGTACTCTGTGCAATTTTGGGAGGGAAGATAAAGGGAGAGAAAGTGATTGGTTATAGTTGGGTTTACTAACAGAATACAATGTAAACAAAATAACAAATGTTACCTCTAGGATTCCATGGAAATCCATTCTTTTAAATAAAATCTACATTTGTAACATTTTGTCAGGTTTATGCTTACTAGGCCTGCAATTGCATCTAATTGTAGGGACTTTTTATGCTGCTAAGATACAGTATATTTAGTTGGTATAATTTTTCAGAAAAATGTTGCTGCTGTCTGCCAACATATTAGAGCCAAAAAGTCTCATTAGATTACTTCTATTTAATTTTAACAATATTTCAGAAGTTTTCATGGTGACACTAGAAAACTTTTTTCTTTTTTTTTTTTTGTATTTCCATTAATATTTTTGTGCACTTTACAAAATTTACTATGGAATTTGTTCATTGGAATATTTTGTTCTGTATTGAAAGGGGTATTATTATTATTATTATTTGTTATATTGGTGAATTTCAATGAAAGACCCATGTAAGCTCTAGGAGGGCGATTTATGTTGGTATAGCTACACATACAGTCATAGATTTGCTGTTTTTCTAACAATTGATCAAGAGTAACATTAACTGCTCAGTTATCAGGGGAGTTGGAAGGAGAAAATGGAGGAATGAAAGGAAAACAGTGAAAATACCGTGTCCTCAGGCGTAGGCTAACACAAGATTTAGAAAAATAAGGTGGCTGTAGTTGTTGCTTGAGGCTGTTACAAGCCATCGAATCCTGATGGTATGCCTGAAAACCTATCTGGAATTGTGACTTTGGGCCTACAATTTACAGTGTTGGTATCATGTATGATGCTGTTTCTGCTTGGAGCTCATATAAGGCTAGGTATGTTCTACACCGCTGAAATCGTGCTGTCAGGTGTTCGTTGGGATAGAATTAGAAATAGTAGGGTAAATTGGCAAAAAAATAGCACATGAACCATAGTTGAGGCTGGGGTTTAGTCTACATAGTAATGACTGGGAAAAAAAATCCTCATCTTGCTTGTTTTCCAGTTTAAGTATTAGACCAAAACCATAAACTGAAAATAATGAATAAGAATTTGTCAGCAGAGTTTGCTGGGGATGTAAGTTAAATTCCCCTTTTCCCTCCAATACTACTTTACATTGATTTTTCGTTGCCCCTTTTCCTCTGTAGTGCCTGCAGCCTCAAGGGTTTACTCTGCTGTTCTCATCTATTGAGCATCAGCTTCTCTCCCTGAAATGCCAAACCACCTTTCTGATTAATGTCAGGCTGTCTTGGTACCTGCCTAGAAAGCAGACAGGCAAAGGTTTTCCTTGATGATAACAATCTAGATTCCGTTGTTGTTTTTTTTTTTTTTTTTTTTTTTAATCAGCTAATTAAACATTTAATGTAAGGTGAGTAAAATAAGACTTAGGTTTGGGCTTTGAAGTGAGATCCCCAGTTGCTCTGAGGCTTCCATCTCTCTTTCATACCCCAAAGCATGGGGATCTCTTCATTGTTCTTGTACCCGAGGAGCAGATAATAGCAATTTTATCTATTTCTGCATAAATATTGAACTGAGGGTAGGAAGGAAATGCCCTGTACTGTGTGGATGTCCAGGGGCTGCTTGCTTCCTGAGGTCATCTAAACACTTAACACCCCAGATTTTATTTAGGTCTTCAGCGAAGTACTAATTTAACAGTTATCTCTGTTCTTTTCATTGACAACTATCGGTAGAAGTATTGGCAATATTTAAATTTTAGGAGTATAAAAGGAACAATTGTGAATTTAGTAATTTAATTTTTTTTTTAAAAAAAGAGGTAGCTGAGGTTGTGGGTTACATGTAAAGGCACTCAGGCAGTGGTGATGTGACTGATGTCCGTGCTTTCCATTCCTTTTCAACTTCACTGCTGACAGTGTGGATACTTCTGATCAAAATGACAGGCAGTAAAGGAGTTCTGCTGTAAAACAGAGTGTTTTAGTGTGTCTTTGCAGTATAGTTTTTATTTCTCAATTACATTTACATTGATAGCGGAAGTTTATGACTTGGTTAGTATGGATTTTCTGTTTCAGAGCTGTCATGCCTGTTTATCTCTGAAAGCAGCAAAATTGTGCTTAGAGCTAATGTAATAGAGCGAGTGCATACACTGTCTAAGATGGCAGGAACAGGTATTTTTGCTGTCTTCCAGAGCTATAATGTAAGAGGTTTGAATGAATGTCATAAAACATAGTAATTCAAGAGGGAAAGAAGGTGAGTAATACAGGAAAGTCAGTGAAATTACTTTCTTGAAGGGGGAGGGGAAAACATTTTGTGAGTATTTCATAAGCTCAGATAAGTACTGGTTGTGAAGTAGAAATTGAAAACATCAAATTTGTCTTGTTAATTTATTGTTTGTTTACACTGACAGTAACAGTTTCTGCTCAGAGCTGCGTCTACTGATAATTGGAGAAAAGAAACACAAATTGTGTGGCCCAAATTCAGAGGTGACTTACATGGTGATACACACTTATCAGGTTTTAGAGTTGATCAGAGCATACAGCGAACAAAAGGGTGTTCAAAAAAAGACAAAAGGCAGCATAGAAATATCCCCAGCGTAATTACGTGTTTACAGAACCATTTGGCCTGTTGTGTCTAATATACTGTCTTTAGAGCAGTGCCTTGATAATTACAGCTGAAGTCCTAGGACCAAGTTGAAGACCACTAAACTGCTCAGTCTTGCTGTCTGTGATCCTGCAAAGATCAGCATAACCTTGCTAACATTTGTAATGTTAAAACACACATGTGTTGGCAGGATTGGGGCTACTGAGGTATTTTAGTGGGCTTGACCTTGACCAAGACCAAGGATTTTAAAAACTGAAATTGATCCATCTTCATTCTACCGGGGAATTATTATCTTCTTCCTCTCCAGAAATTATACTTGTTACTAAACTGTATTCCCTCATGTTACATTTTCAGAAGTCTTTGGTATGGAGGATTGAAATGAATGTATTTTGAATTATGTTGCAGTTTAATTCATTCTGTCAAAGCATGCTGCTTACACAAATCTAATTTGTACAAATCTATTGCTAAAATGATTCTTTTGTGCTCAGAGTTGTGTATTTTGACATTTCTTGTTACTCATGTAACAATATTTATGTATATAGAGAAGAAAACTGTTTTGCCTCTTACTGCTTTCTGTTACTTTTTTTTTTTCACTTGTATGCTTAATGCTTTCATATTTTCTTTAATTTGGACAAATGCATAAACAACTGCCAGATTTCAGTGGTCTTTCTGCAACCATTTGAGATTTTAAATTCTCAAATCATTCAATGATGCCCTCCTTGAAAGAGATTTTGATTTATTTTTATGTGAAAAATAAAAATTCAGAGCACAAGTTTGTTGCGGTTGGAATGGTGAGGAATTTCTTAAGTCCAATTTTCCAGGAGCCGCTACTTTGCTATTATGAACTGGTTTGATCTTTTTTTGAGGAATAGTCATATTCTGATGTGGAGAAACCTTGAATTACTGTTTTTAAAAAAGCTGTTAAGTAGAATGGCATTGTCTTTTCTGTACATATTACACCTGTGAAAATACCTGAGAAACAAACAAAACAAAAAAAAAAGAAAAAATAAAACGTGAACATTCTCCAAAAGTGTGGTGAAAGTCTATAGAATTGCTTTATCTTTGTGCATTCACACGTTTCTTGGATTTAATGCCCACCTTCATAGTTTCCAAGACTTTATTTATTTTATCTTATATTAAATAACAAAGATTGTTTGCCTGATTTAGATGGTTTTGTTTAAGCCAAAATGTTTCTTGTATAAAGAATTTACAGAATGCTCTCTTCTGAGTTGTAGGGGTAGAGATGTGTCAATATACCCAAAGCAAATGAAATACTGTGTAGCGAAAGAGGGAGAAAGCCTAAAAAAACCCCCCAACTTTCCTAAAAATACTACCTGAACTGGGTCTACTACCTTTTAGCTAAGACTGAGTAATTAAGATCATCTTATTGTGCAAGAAATAAAACAGACAGTGGTACTGCATGGCATGATTCATTTCAACACAAGACGGTGACCTTTATGATTCAAGTGCTGCATGTTTGTGTGTGATGGATTATTCCCCATATTAGTAGAATGAAAAATGTTCAGCATCTTGGCTGTTTTGGGGAAATGTTTCAGCTTGCTAATGAGTTAGCAAAAATTCTGCTCGAGTAATTTCTCTAAATGATAAAGAATCAAGGCATGTCCCTAAAGAATGCCTGAGAGGGGATGGCATTTTCAGTTGTTCAGCTGCCCGTGTGCCTAATTTTGAGATCCCTTTTCCATACATCTGCAACAACCACTTCTTCCTCCTTTCTCCTCTGCTGGTCCCCTCCGTCTCCCTGAGGTAGCACCTTCTGTGCTGCTGTGTTGCAGCGAGTATGGTGGTGGCAGGAGACACTGGTGCTGACGGCAGAAGATGGTGGAGGTGCCTGGAGAAGGTGTGTGACGGGCTGAGGGTGTGTTTTGCCACCTTTGGTTATAAGATTAGAGCTGTCAGACAAGAGCCGTTACAGGAACGTGTATATTTGCCTCTGGTGCTAGTGCAGGATTCTGGTTTTATCCCCAGAAGTGTTACAGGTTTTATTCTACCCGTCTTTTGGCAACTGAGCTACAACAATCAGTTCATGAGAATCCACTGGAACAAAAGTTCCTGCAACTTGCCCTCAAACAGAAATAGTAAGCATGAAGGCAAACACAACCCTCCTCAGATACGAGGGGGAAAAGAGCCATAAGTCTGTGACTGTACAGTGTCATGTAGGAAAATGTGAGTTGTACAGGGTGCCCCTTAGAGAGCTGATTTTTGGTTTTAAAATAGATGTTGCAGGTACTCTGCACAGAATATCGGTTTGTGTTCTACTTTA